CACTGATTGGTCGCCAGGCGGCTCCTGAAAGGCTTTCTTTTTCTGACTTTAAATGTCTTTTTTGTCTTCGGCGCAGGATGAAACGAGGGCACTTTGATATCGTAAGGCCCGATACCCTAGTAAGACAAGATGGGAACGTTTGTCTCGGGACGAACCGCTAGCCATGCAGCGGGTGTCTAGAGTGCTGGACATGGAGCGGGAGGCACCTCGCTATGCTGCGGCGCTGACTGATCAACGTCTGCAGGCCGGTCGTCCTAGCAACTGGTGCAACCAGAAAGCGGTTGGAGAAAAGTACTCGGAATGGACTCGAAAATGCTGCAAATGCGTTGGATCCCGGCATGTTTCAACGTGTGAAGGACTGACGCTGAGGCTGGCTGACACTGCCAAGTGACTGCCTGTTGCACCTCAACCGCGGCTGGTGGCAGCTCTGGTGCGGCGGGCTTTGCATTGCAAGATGCCTCAGGTACCTTTCGCACCAAGACAGGATATGGTTCAAGCCTGGGAGGAAATCAAGAGAAACCTGATCAAAACAAGTAGACCTCACCTCGACCCAGCAAAGCTCGCTGACATTTGGTTCCCTTGCTGAGGGAATGTGTATTTGCTCCTCGTATTAGGCAGCTTCAGTCTTACAACTGAAGCTGCTGCAAATTCGGTCAGGTGAAGCAACTCACCTGCCCTGCTTTAAGGATGTGCGCAATCTCTCCATAAGACCGCGCAGCCTGCTAGATATCTGTGCCCAAGCAACGAATTCTAGCACAAACGAGATCCGGCCAAAGCCATCCATCGGTGAATTCTGGAGCAAACAGCAAAACTCAGATGCTACTTCCCGTCGTCTGCTCATGGCTTCGGCAGAACCTGTTTAGCTCCTGTACAGCCCTGGTCCTGACTGCTGAAAATGACCACGGCATTCTGTCTCTTCAAATTGACAGGAGCCCAGTCTGAAGAAAGAAGCTTCTTCACAAGCTTGAAGGGCTTCGCAGGTCCCAGGCTTTACAAACTCTGCCTAATCGGATAGAGGCCTCACATGCGGCAACTTGCTATACCCCTTTGTCATCTGGCGTGGCTGTTACATGCATGTCATGCTTGGAGGGGGAGGCCTCCGTACAAGCTTCAAAAGATCTTTAAGCGCTGGCTTGGCTTCAAGGATAAAAGTCCTGAAAAACCTGGCCCGGTACATCCACACAACAATATGGCAACGTGCTGTAATGTCCGCATGAAGTACCGTACTGCAGCTCGCTGCTTCTGAGGGGATTGCTTCCGGACTGGTCCATGCATGAGCACGTCATCCCAAGCCGCATGAAAGTGCCTGGCCCACCTTGGGTTGGCCGGCACAGCAAAAGTGAGGGCGGGCCACAACACTTTCTTTTTGTCAAGCCGAGTCCAGTCGAAAAAGGAAATTCGCAACTCTTGCTTGGCTAGGGCCGAAACAAGATGCGAGGGTTTTGAAGCTGTTGTTAGTGTTTTGCAAGAAAGGCTGCTGATATTGCGGTACGGTACGACGACGACAAAGCAAAGTTCCCCTCGCGAGTTTGATTACTCTGCGGTGGAGAGTTCCGCAACTGCCTCCCGTGTTTCAGGGGAATCGCTTTCCTGGTCATCGGCGTCCTCCTCCGGCTTTTCCATGAACTCCTCAGCGCTCAGCATGCTGGCAAACACTTGCACTCATCACCCCTGGCAGGTCGACGGATGTCGACGGCACTTCGTTTGCTGATCTGTCATATGAGCAGGCCTCGATGCGGTTCGACAAACGTCGTAGACCAATGCCTTGTGCTTGAGAGCTTGCGCTTGGTGTTGACTGAACGGCGCATTTTGGAGTATCGAAGCACGGGCGGATGTCAGCACAGGCACAGGCTTGCTCAACTTGGCTGAGCTGCCTTTTCCCTCGCGCTTCCGCAGCCGGGACATCTTCTTGCCTGGGCTGGAGCCAATCTCATGAAGCTTCTAAAGTCTTTGAATGAAACTTGACAAGCCTTTTGTGAGTAATCCAGTCTAAGTGTGGAGCTCGACCAAATCTTGGCGACTACGGCATCCTGCTTGATGAAGCTGACCTGTCCATGATCCCCGAAAAGCCACATGGGTTTTCCCCAAAATTTTGGAGGTCCCAAAAGTAAGTCTTGTAGTACTTTGGGCTCAATTTTGATGATTTTGAGGTCACTTTTCATGGAATCTCAATGAGGGGCACATGAAGTTTCAAGCGCACCCACCATTCGCACAAAGTCACCGCATCTGCAAGAACTTACATCACATCAATCATCAGCAATCTAACTCCCCTTGTCAAGGGCTCCTTAGCCCCTTCCTGAAACAAGCGAAGATCAAACATAACGCGAGCGCCATGCAGGCTTTGGGCTGAACTCTGAACATGTATGTCGCGTCAAACATGTGGCAAATGCAATGTGCATGCAGGATTCACGCATCTCAGAGATTCTTAGAGTGCCTCCATTACAACTCATATTACAATTCATTGCTTGAAGACCGGACCCCGTCAACACTCCCACTGCTTCACAGGTCTCATCACGCGCTGACAGCACCCGGAAGGGGCAAGGTGCAAACGTCATGTTGCAGCCCCCCGGCACGAGTACGTTAGGGGCCTGCGTGAGCTGCGGGAGTTGGACAAACGCTAATCCAAATCCTTTCCGTCACGTGAACGCGATTCGGGTATGCTGTGTCGTTCTGCAAATTAAACTCCCCTGCATCACGTGCCAGGACTCTGGCCGCAATGATGTATTCAGATTCGTAACGGCGCATGTAAATCCCTTGTCAACCGCCATGATGCGACTCTTTACAATTTACAAGATGATGCGGCTTAACCCTAGTCTTGGCCTCCTCTTGCTGTGCCTGCTGCCATTGTGGCGGAGCAGCTGCCTAGTGTCATCGCTGAAGGGGTGGTATTGCAATGGGAACCAAAAACGGGGACCACGCAGTTTCTACTTACCCAGTGCAGCCACATGAGGTATGCCTGAAACTGAACAGTCACGAGGAGTAGTGACTTGCACTTGAATTGCGCGAGCCTGATAATCGTCCCAGCTCGGATGGTCGATGATCTTGCCGTTCGATACTTCCAATACTCGTGTGGAAAACTCTCTCAAGAAAAAGCCTCAGCGAACACTTCTTAGTGTTGACATACCTTTCACGTCGAGGAAGTGCTGACAACTTCGGAAAAGCTAGACTTGACCTTCCCCATGTGCTCCCGCTGGCAAAACGACAAATGAATGAAAGCAAGAGAATCAATCAAATGAGCCCTGACAAGCTGCGATCGTGGCTGACCACCAAAGCTGCTCCTGCCAACGAGGTCATGCTAGTGGCAGGCAAAAGCCACGCTACTTTTCAGCTCGATCTATGCAAGCTGGCCCGAAGACAATCTTCATCGCCTATCGCAAGCTCGTTGGCTGAAAAACGCCGTTGCAAAGATTTACTATCACAAGTGTACCCCACTCTGGCAGAACAGCACAGGCTTCAGCAAAGAAATGTAGCACACATGTGGCAGTGCTTAACCTGGGCGCAGGCCAAGCCTTTTGAAGCCACAAAACATGACATGCTGATCTGGAGATCTGCTCCGGTGGGAAGCGTGAAGGCTATGTAGTTGTGCTCAATGTGTTCCAAATGAATGCATATCATGATCTCTTCCCATGGCATCCGCCACTACATGAGCCTAGATTGACTTAGGGGCTGTCCTTCAAACGACTTGAGGGCATCCTCCAAAAGCTCCCGGGTCGGAATATCCAGGTGGTTGGTGGGTTCGTCGAGCACGAGCAATGCCACAGGCTTCAACAAGAACTGTGCGAAGGCTAGCCGCGCCTTTCACGATTGCACTATTCAATCTGTACCTCCGTTCATCTAGCTGCACTGGAAGCCTGCCACATGTTGTTCCTGGCATGCACGTGAACCCGGTTTGGCCTTCTCACCACCGCTGAGGCTGGACACAGGCTGCTTGGCTGTGATGCCGCTCAGCCGGAGGCGGTCGAGGACAACTTCCTTTTAAAGTCACTTGTCCAAAAAACTTTTTTGAATGCTGTGAGGCTGCAAGAATGTTCAGCAACCTTATGTTTGGTCATGATGTGCAAGGCTGCTAGCGTCTTTGTTTTCGGTCTGCCAATGGTTAGTTACAGCCTGAATAGAAGCTTGCTGAAAGCAATCTGCCCAAGGGACGATGCCGCCTGCGCGTTCAACATCTGCGGATGTGCCTTCGACAAAGCATCACGACAAGTTTCTGGCGCAGCAGCGTCCATTCCATGAGCATCCGTAGTTTCCATTTTCTTTTCCATTATCCCTATATAACCCAAATGTAACCCCAATATACAAGAATCGGGATGCCAAGCTGCAGGACATGTAAAGTGCATCCTGCACCGAGCCCTCTTCTGTGTTGAAGGCTTCGGCAAGTCCTTGGCTGGGCTCAAGCAATATAGCTTTCCAGCTCCAATGCATAGGAGCACTCAGTTCTGGCAAAGCTCAAGATTACTAACAAAACCTCTCAGCCACTCAATCCTTCAAACTCACGCCGGGTTGACTCCATGACCCAGCAGCTGCCACCAGACAGAAATTGCAGCCCGGAGTCTCTGTGGAAAGTATGCAGAACCAGCGGAGGTGATGGATGCTGTGCCTGATGCGCGAGGCTCTCCCAGATTCTCGAGCTGCGCTGCGCAACAATGCTGTTCCCTCCCGACCTTCCACACGTCCTGACTTGTCCAGGTCATTCACCAGTGCCTTGACGAGGGTACTCTTGCCTGAGTGGGGGTCACTGACAACAACACCCCTTGCCAAAACTGAAGTTGGAAGCAAAGTCACCGCAGCCGTTGGGGCCTACCACTGCCACCTTCTCACCCTGTCGTAGTAAGAAGCTGATCTTCTTCAGGATCTCCTAGGCGGGGGGATGTACTCGTGGAGGCTAAGCCGAAAAAAACAGCTTGCATAATTATCAGTGCTCTATTTCTCACACATTAGAAGCCCAAACTGAAGCTCTCAATCATGTAGGGCCTAAGATGATCTGGAAAATCAACTTCACGTCACCCCGAGACACCACGCACGCAGCACAGCTCCCCGCCCTGGATGAGTTGCACTCTCTGCGCCTTGTCTGGAAACGAGACGCTGAGATCCTGCACCTCCAGTGTGCTGAAACTTGAACAATGCTTTAGCACCAGCTGGGCTTAGCAGTGCGCCACTCCAGCTACGTAAAAGGTTTAGCATTCCATGGTGGTACCCTGTTGCCTGACCCGCCTCGAGCAGTGTCAGGGGCTCTGCCTCTGAGCCCCAGATGTCATCAGCATCCTCAGGTTCTTCCTTCAAGCAGAGGTCTGCTTAGAAACCTATTTTCAGCAACAAAGCAAATGAAATCAGGCCTCCTCCGTGGAGGCCACTTTCAGTGAACATGGGAAGCGGAAGTTCTTGACCACCTTCACCTTGCCAACAACTTTGCTGCATTTCGCTTCATCTCATTCAGAGGGCCTCTGGCTTCGGAGGGGCTTTGGCGAGCAGCCTTTGCAGATCCTGCGCAGGCTAAATCATGAAGGGGAAGGCGCCTTGTCTTCTATGGCCAGACTCAAAGCAAACGGGTGTTGGGCCACGCATGTAATGCCTGGTAGACGTTTGACTTGGCTGTGCAAACCAATCGTCCAGACAACTCTGAGCCTTGCATCAGGCTACTTTTGCTTACAACTGCATTACCGGACTCCTGCTTCTTCTTTGCAACAACGTCCATCAAGAATCGCTGCTGCAACTTCTTGATCTTCTTCTTCAAGGCCAGCACCCTGTCCCTGTGAAGGTTGTAGGCCTTCCACTGGTGGTAGAAGGACCCATCCCGTGCCTCCAAATACTCTACATAATTGCCAAAATACGTCTTTGATTCGCCGTCAGCAATCTCCACGATGCGATTGCACACCTGGTTTAGGAAGTAGCGGTCGTGAGAGACGATGACCATGGCGACATCTTGGGCTCTCAGGAATGCCTCCATGAACTCCACCGTCTCCAGGTCGATATGGTTTGTCGGCTCATCCAGAAGGATTAGATCCGGCCGGGACAGGATAATCTTGCCCAGGGCCACGCGCATCTGCCATCCGCCAGACAACTCTCGTACCAAGGTGTCCCGATATGAGACCTAGCACATGGTGGATGCCCCAGCTGCTTGAGAAGCTCTCAAATGCGGCTCAGGAGCAAGATCCAGCTGCAATACCAAGTCCTCAACCTGCACTGCCGAAGGGTGCTGAGGCGCACTAAAGTCACTAAAGCGCAAACTGCCCAAGAATAAAGATCTCTTGTGATCACAGCTCATGCTCAAGCACAAGGCCTCACCCTCCAATCCAAAGAACGAAGAGAATCTACAACACATTTCTCAATACCCGTATCTATGCACTGGCGCGCCTCTCCAACGTGCTTTTCAATCTGACTCCGCTCCTGAAAAGTGATGTCGTTTACGGAGGTCAGGTGATGCAGGACCCACTGCAGAGCTTTCTCTGAGAAACAGCACGATTGGGTCCTCCACTAGACCGTCCATCTCTTCTAGCCTCCAATCGCAGTTCACGTCAGTCCAGAACAGTGTGGATTCTCAGGGTGCAGAATGCAACTTTGCATTGCAAAGCGTAACAAAGCTATAGCCGCTGCTTGAGAGCCGCTCCCCCGCCTGGCATTTGAACTTGCCGCGTCGATGGCAGCATCCACCTCTGCCAGCGTGCGGTCACCGAAGACCGACTGCAGCTCCTAAGAGGGCATACATGGTGCTATCAAGAACAAACCTGATCCACTCGTGTAGGTTGCGCAAAGATCTGAGAACTCTCAGGGAGAGGGAAGGGGCAATTTACAAGAAGCCCCTTGAATCCATCCTCCACAGCCGTTTTCCCATTGTCCAGGTCAGCCTCTTGCAACCAAAGGTTTGCGCGCAAGGACATACGACAATATATCGGCACCCAAGCAGGCAGCCTCCTGCTGCATGTAAGCAATCTTCATTTTCTGCGGGTGCTTGATGATCCTGCAGGTCGGCAGCTTCCCCTGCTGGCGGAGATTGGAAATGCCGGCAGAACGGCTGCCCCCAGCCTGCCGCCTGTTGGCTCAATTTCCTCGAGAAGCATGAGGAGCTGCGAGCTCTTCCTTCGTCTCCAACTGTGAAAAATCTCACACTCTCTCTTTCTCTCCAAAAGAACTTCCAAGCATCTTTAAGCAGGCTTCAAGCCTTCAAGCTATTTGCGACGCCTTGAAACGAAACCTTCATCCAAGCAACCCGCAGCCATTGGGGCCGATCAGCCCCACCTTCTGTTTGCGGCAAACGCTCCAGCTTACGGACTCCAAGACCTCGGCTGAGGACTTTTACTGGGCCTCGCAATCTGAAGGACCTTTGCAGTCAGCCAACCGGCTTGGTAGAGTACCGCCCCTTCTCGCCGGCGCCTTTTACCGCCGGCGTCCAGGACACCTGCTGCGCACGTGCATGATGCATTGAGAACCCTTGCACTTTCTAGGCTGGCAAGACCATCAGCATGCCACGTGGCCCAACTGCCTCATTCACGATGACTGCAGGTGTCACCTCTGGCACCTGTTGTGCTCGGCAGGCATCACGTTGTTGAACTTCCGTGCCCAATTGCCTCTGCCGGATCCAGCTCAGGTTTTCGGAGCACTCGGGGTCGCTGTCGCCTTAGTCTCCGTGTGGCATCCAAAGCATCCAGGACATTTCTTGTAAATGCATGTGTGGGCCGCTTTGAGAGCAGACTGCTGCACATCGCCCCGCCGTTTTCATTGACAAGATTGTTGCTGCCGCCACTCTTAAACACGAAATGGGTGCTGCAAATCATGGATGGTGATAACAATGAAACCGTTCCTTGCTGAGCACCTCTGCCTGCGAGGGCGGGCGCGTGGGCTGCCGCCTACAACACGAAGGGAAATGGGTGGTGGCAAGTGTGCAACCTCACAAGGCTATCTGGGCTCTGGGGCGTCAGCCCGCCTTCAGAGGGCCTGCTGGCTTCACTCTTCTGCGAAGGTTGCCCAGCGTCCTGCAGTGTAGCGGCTGGCAACTCCCAAGCAATGCAATAGTATGCAATGGTCTCTCAGCTTGTTTTTGGGTGAGCCTGCTTCTTCGCGAGGCGGACAACCCGCCAGTGCGCGGCCCTGGCTGCGCCGTTACGCACGCGGTTCAGGCGCACCGCGCCGTAAACAGATAGGAAACCAAGGGCTGCTGCTGCGGTACTCGGGAGGGACCTAAGCTGAAGGCAGCACCGGATGGGGTCTTTTTCCCACAATGTTGGCTTCGGTTTTCTTCATCCGGGGAGCCCCTGCGCAAGTCTAAGCGCTGGCTGCGGCTTTGCCGGAGCGCGCTGAAGTGCCGCGGCTGGCGCGTCAGGCGCTGGCGCGGTCGGCGCCAAAAAGTCCATTTTATGGGTAAAGTAGTGCAGTCTTACGGTGCCACACGGCCTTTTGTTGCTGGGCTCCTAGGCTGCGACCTTGGCTCTTTGCTGGACTTCGCAGGGCCCCGTTTCAGGATTTACACTTTCAGGAGGAACTTGTACTTGTGCGGGCTGCGATCTGCCAGATCTCGTATGCTTTTGCAAGTTCAAACGTGTCAGCCTGATGTGCTGAGAAGCTGTGAGCCAAAGGCAAGTAAGCTTTGAAAGTGCAATCTTCCTGGATGTTGGAATGCAGGAAATTATCGCGTCTTTCCAAGCTATTGGACCAGCCAGGCGCTGCCGTTACAAGTGGGCCAAGGTATGGCTGTGAACTTGCGCTAGCCGCTAGCCCAGCGCGACATTTCAGTGCCTCCTCCCCTTCGCTCTCCAAGGGCTCTTCTTCGAAGGGCGCGATTTGATTCTCGTCCTGCGCGGTAAGATGACAAGCTGCATTGAGGAAAGCCGTTGCAAAACACCAAGCCGCTGGTGATTTGCTGGAAAGGCAGCTGCCAGCTTTGCGCCTCCACATATTCTGTGGGATGCTCTTCTGGACCAGCCTGCTCCACACGCTTGGTGACAAGCCACACTTCTCTGCTGCCATGTTCGGCACCCATTATCACCCCCCTCCATGCCTTTCTAGAATTCCAAAAAAAGCCCACACTTGGAGGATTTATGCGTTCTCATGTGCTTTCACTGGTCCTGTACGACACTTGCGAATGAAAGATGACGCTTTCTTCAACATCTGCAACACTTCCAAGGTATGTCATACGGCCATCCATCCCCTTCTCCCATCTTGTTTCAACTACTCCAAGCCGTGCGAGCGACCTCGGACTGCCAGCATGTTCGTCTAAGCCCTATATAATCCGTTACAGTAGTGTCCAGTCTCTTTTCCATCATCCCCATCTAGCCCAAGTATAACCCTGATGTTACCCTAATAGGTACCTATATCCCCTATAATAATAGCAATAATGATAATAACAATAATAAAACAATAGTAATAAAAATAGTGATAGTAATAATACTAGTACTACTCATGATAATAATACCAGTACCCCTATATTCGTTGCCTCTGCTGGACTGGCAGCATCAGCTCTTGGCGTCGACGCCTGCAAGATGAACGGAGCAAATCTGCTTCAGGGCCGTCTGCGTCGTTTTCCAGTAACAGGGGGCCACAATGTAAACCAAAGGTATTGCTTACTACCAGGACTCCCAAAAAGGGATCCCAGATGTTTGGAAACCCCAACGGTACATAGGTAATCCCTTCCTCCTGATATTAGATGATGTCCCCCCCTAACCCCGTACTGTTTAATATTGGGGGAAGTCATTTGATATTGGACGGCTTTGTTTAAAAGAATTAGATATGGCTGCCTTAGAAATCCCTTGGAAGTCCACGGAAAATCAATAATCAATGAACTCAGCTAGTTAAGCACAGTAGTTAATAAGTCAATTGGGATTGCAAAATAAATGAATCAGTTGGATAAATAATTGATAATGCCAGAACCCCGCCTAATTCATGATTAGGTGGCCGCTTCTAAAATAATCTTTCCTCGTAACAGTTCTCTTCCGGATTTTCAGGCACCAGAATTTATTCCTTAGTATTAGACGGAATGTTTTTCTTGGGGGGAGAGGACTATGTGTGGGCCTGCCCAGCTTCGTTCTCTAGTGTCGGCTGTGCTGGCGCTGCCTGGCAGGAAGTGAACAATGAAGGCAAGCTCGCAAATGGCTGACTCATACACTGCTTCTGACCTCGCGCATTTGTGTGAGAGTGTCGAGATTCGGATGACAAAGCAGGCGCAGCGCACAGAATATGTTCTGAATAAACAAGGGATAGGGCAAAACCGAGAAACACAACTGGTATGTGACCTAGGCAACATCGGATTGGTTTCAGGGTGCTCACGCAAAAGTACCCGTGCACAAATCCCGTGAACAGCTATAGCACCAGCACCAAATGAGCTATAGTTCAAACTCCGAGTATCCCCTTGATAACCCTGACAATTGTCCCCTACAGAATCCCATACATAACACCTCTCTAAGGAGTTTAGACTATAGCTCAAATGATGCACGCTCGACTTCAACAAAGAACCCTCCGCGTGCTCTCTTAGGCCCTTAGCAATCCTCACTTTTGCACAGCTCGTACATCATTTGTATGGCGCTTGCCGGTTCTTTTCGGCCAACAACAGACGTGAGTTGGTCTAGGAATTCTTGAATCCTCCCTTGATGCGGAATAAGGACCGACCACAGTTGAGTAGTGTTTTTTGGTG